TACTACTACGACTACCACTACTACTACTACTACGACGACTACTACTACTACTACTACTACTACTACTACTACTACTACTACTACTACTACTTACTACTACTACTATTAACTATTACTACTACTACTACTACTACTACTACTACTACTACTACTACTACTACTACTACTACTACTACTACTACTACGACTACGACTACGACTAAGACTACGACGACTACTACTTCTACTACTACAACTACTACTACGACTATTACTACTACTACTACTACTACTACTACTACTACTACTACTACTACTACTACTACTACTACTACTACTCCTACTGCTACTACTACTACGAATACTACCCCTCCCCCTCCCCCTCCCCCTCCTCCTCCTCCTCCTCCTCCTCCAACCCCTTCTCCTCCAACCCCTCCTCCACCCATTCCGACAGGACGTGCCCAACCCTCCGCCGCAGATCACGAGGAGGGCGATGATTGCCCCATCCGGCGCAGATGCACGAGGAGCCCCAGGGGTCTCAAAGGATGTCAGCGCAGCAGTAGCAGCAGCGAAGATCCCCCAGAGGCATGGCACCAGAGGTTCGGCTGCATTCGCGATGTTTCTTGAGGGGTGCCAAACCCGATGGGCACCTCAGGGCAACAAGGACCGCGGCTCCCAAGATTGTGGCCAGTCTGTGAGTGGACGGGAGGGGGAGGGGCAGATCAAGATCCAGCAGTGCGGCTCGACTAGACAGATCCTCGAGAGGCGCCTCTCTTGCCCGCGGGGTCGTCCCCCTTGAGCTGCCAACTCGAGCGGGGAAAAGGGAAGCAGAAGCGCGCGGGTCCGATGAACACAGATCATCGTGAGGGGCAGGATCATCGAAGTCAGGGACGCCGTCCCCGTCGCTATCCTGGAAGCGGAGGAGGAGGAGGAGGAGGAGGAGGGGGGGGAGGGAGGGGGAGGGGGAGGGGGAGAGGGAGGGGGAGGAGGAGGGGGAGGGGGAGGGGGAGGGGGAGGAGGAGGAGGAGGAGGAGGAGGAGGAGGAGGAGGAGGAGGAGGAGGAGGAGGAGGAGGAGGTGGAGGTGGATGGCCGCGGCAACGGCACAGCGCTCCAGGGCATGCCCTGCTCGCACCGCTGCTGCGCTTGCCCATCCCGATGCCCCTCTCCTTACACTTCTCCCCTCGCCCCTCCCTCCCTGACTCCCTCGCCTCCCCTCGACCCCACCTCCCCTCGCCCCTCCCTCGCCCTTCCGTCCCCCTCGCCCTCCCCTACTTTTCCTCTCGCCCCTTCCTCCCCTCCCTCGCCCCTCCCTCCCTTCTATTCTTCCCCTCGCCGCTTCTCCATCCACGGCCCTTGATCGGCGGCGAGCGAGGGGGGGAACGGCGGGTCTTCTCAGAAGCCCTCGCGCCTTCTGAGAAATTTCCTGCGTCTTCGGGGAAGGCTCAAAAACCCTCTCTCAAAACGCCAGGGCTTCCTGAGCCTTCTGAGAAGACCCATCCCTTCTCGCTTCCCCAGGGCTCGCCGCCGTCTTGAGGCTCCGCGAAGGAAACGGCGCAAACGCAGGGGACTCCCTGGAGCACCTGGAACGGGTCCGTTCGCTGCCCTCCCTCCCGCGGCCATTTTGGCGCAAGCAGGCTTTCCCCCTGCTGTTTCGGGCCACCGCGGCGCCAGTGGCGGCGGCACGGGCTTGCGCGGTGGCGCGGGATGAGCGGGCGCGCGACATGTTCGTATCATGAAGACCCCGGCGCTGGTTTGTGAAACCGCGTGGCTCCTTCAACCTTCCACGATCGGCGGCTTTTCGCCGCCAGCTCGTTCAGATTGGCCGATTCAGTGCCACTGCCAGCGTTCAACCTCGAATCGCCCGCGACGGGGTCGCCGCCGCGTCGGCAGTTCAGTCGGGCTGCTGAAATGAGGAACGCCAAAGAAGGAACGAAGCTCCTCTGCGGCTTCAAGAGAGCCTCGGCGCACGAGAAGGGCTGGAGGAGCAACCGCGGCAGCACGTGAGGAACATCGAGCAGGAGGAGGAGGAGGAGGAGGAGGAGGAGGAGGAGGAGGAGGAGGAGGGGGAGGGGGCGGGGGAGGAGGAGAAAGGGGAGGAGGAGGAGGAGGAGGAGGAGGAGGAGGACGAGGAGTAGTAGTAGGAGGTTGCTTCAGCGTCCTGGCTGTGCACGAGCCTGCCGCATCCGATCGCAGCGCTCAGCCACGGGCCGGCCCGCTCGCGAGGGGGCGGGCGCGGCCGTGGCCCGGCTCCAGGCGCCCGCTCGGCCCGCGCACGGCCTGGCCGCGGCCCGGGAGGCGGGGCGCCGTCGAGGCGGCGCCCGCGCCCCGGGGCGACGAGCTGCGGACCCGGGACCCAGGGTCAGGTCGGGCCTGTCCCCCTGCAGGGGGATTCTGGACGAAGAATAAAAGAAAAAAAAAAAAAAACTCCAAAAATGCCCACGAGAGATGCCCCCAAAGTATACTCAACAACATAGTCCCCCGACTATGTTTTGACTATGTCTGAAGTCTCCCCCTGTAGAGGGACAGGCCCGACTTAGACCTAGGACGGAAAAGCGCATAGCAAGAGCTCGAGACCCCCCGCCGGCCAAGACGCACGGAACACCCAGGGGCACCTTGGATGCTCATTCTGGGGACCTTCCTGGAGACACTCGCTCCACTCGTGCGCCAAAGCTGCGTAGAACATCCGTCGATTTGAGTCGACCTTGAGTCGAACCTGAGTCGAATCTGAGTCGAACTCGAGTCGAACTTAACTCGAACTGGGGTCGAACTTGAGTCGAAAGGATCCGTTCGGTGGGCCCCAGGAAGGTCCCCAAAACGAGCATCTAAGGCACCCTTCCCCGGGCGCACGAGCACGTCCAGCAGAAGCGCGAGGAGCACGAGGGCGCCCTCCCCGAGCCGGCCTCGACCCTGCACGCCTCGGTCCGGCTGTGCCCGCCGCTGCGCAGCGCTGGCTCGGCGAAGAGGCCAGAGGGGGCCTGGCCGTGCGCGCCTCGAGCACGTCCGCCGCCGAGCTCGCGAGAGCGCTCCCGCGGGCAGCAGGCGCACGGGCCCTCGTGCACCTGCCCAGTCCTGGAGCGGTCTCCGAGCGGAGCAGTCGTGGAGTCTCTGCTCGTGTCACCCGGGGTCTGGCTGGCACCCTACATGCGTGAAGGGGGGGCCCAGTTCGCGCCCGACGTTCACCCTTGATAGAGCCACGCCGAGGACGCTGCTCCTGCCGCCTCGTCGTGCGGCCTCTTCCACGGCGCTGGCTCTACGCTCGCTCGCACGATTCTAGCCGCGATCCCCTGACACTCCTGACAACCGATCTTCTGAACGAAAATGTTCCGAACTGTCCATAACTCAGCCGATTTCGTTCCGCTGTGGGAGGTGAATCTGATCCTGCCGTATCCGAAGGGTTTGTTGCTCTGCTCCCGCCATGTGAGTTCCGTATCGATCGCGTCCTGCTGTTCTGTTGTCAGCCCACTTTTTAGGAATTCCATGACCGCCCGAACCTCTGCTGCCCTCATGCCCTCATGAGCGGCCCCTCGTGTGGACGTCGCTGCCCCCCCCCCGCCGCCTCGGAGCCCGGCGTGGAGGGCGCCGCCGCGGAGCTACACGGCGGTGTCGGCAACTCCGCTGGGCCGCGAGCGGGGGCCCCCGACTTCGTCTTCGGGGCGGGGCGCTGGGAGACGCTCCGCGTGCCCGGCGCGCCTCTCACCGGTCTCCGCCGCACCTGCGGCGCGGTGGGAGGCGCCAGTTTGCTGCGCGCGAGCCGGAAGAGACTCCCACAGATAGGATCCTCTCCCCGTGGGCGGCTCGGAGGAGGGGAATGCATGTTTTGAGCTTGTCCCCGAAGCGCTCCATCGATCACCACGCGACCATCGTCAGGCGTCGTGCTACCAAAATCCCGGCGCAGAGGTCTGAGTCAGAGCACTTGAGACCAAGCCGTACGCATGCCCCGGGCCAGAGCTGCGCTGGGCACACGCCATGACGGTCTGGACGGCCAGCGCCTACCAAGCGGAGAGGAATGCAGCGGCTGCCTCGGCCTCGACGGCGGACTCGCGAACGGGTGCAGCGGAACCGCCTCGGAAGGGGGGGGGAAGCGAGGCCAGGTTGCCAGGGCGAGTGCCTCGAGGAGCCGGCCGGCCACCGTTCGGATTGTCGCGGGCGAGCCTCTCGGGCGCCCGCGAGGTGCGAGGTGGCCGCCCAGCGGGCGCTCGGCTCCAGCCACTTCACCGCCGACTGCCCTGCCCCGGCCGAGCGCTGCCGTGGTGCCATCGTGTCGTCGGCTTCGAGCCACGATCGACCAGCCGTGAGCTCAGCACGCCGCGGGATTCGGACTCGACTCTCGGAGCAGCCGAAGGATGAGTGGGCGGCCTTTAGAAGGGCGCTTTCCAACAGCTCGTCCGTAGACGGGCGCGTCTCGATCAAACTCTCGGAATTCGAGGCCGCTGCCCCAAAACTGGAAGTCTGGCGAAGCGCGCGCACACTGCTGCAGCAATACACGCGAGGGGTGTGCACACTTTATCCGCGGGGATGGACAGAACTCCCTTTAGCAAAACGTGGTCTAGTGAAAATGACCACGGGCCCAAACCTGGCGGGCGCAGCCTGAAAAATGAGGGCCGCGGCGCTTTCTCGAGAACCGAAAACGGACAATTCACTAATCGACGTGTCAGCGGGGGGGTTCTGTCCACCCCCGATATCCGCACTTTTCCGTGGCATGCCCTCTTCTTTCTGCACGAAACACGCCGTTCCCGCACTCGGGACGAGACGTCCTCGGGCGCCGGCGAGGCGCGAGCGCGTGTCCCTCGGGACGCCAAAACGTCCTGCGAGATGGCGGGGCGAACTGCCCAAGGTGCAGCCTTTGTGCAACCGTGCCAAACGGGCCGCAGGCAGAGCGATCGGCAGTGGGCGCACGCGACGGATCAGGATCACGGAGACCAGCAGCATCATCATCATCATCATCATCATCATCATCATCATCATCATCACCACCAACAACAACAACAACAACAACAACAACAACAACAACATCATCATCGCCATCACCATCACCAGCAACATCATCATCACTATCAGCATCATCGCCAGCATCATCATACTCAGCATCATCAACATAATCATCATCACCACCACAACAATCACCCCCACCAGCATCATCATCAGCCATGGTGATCATCATAACCATAACCATCACCATCAGCATCATCATCATCATCATCAGCAGGAGCAGCACCATCACCAGCACCATTCTCACCATCATCAACATCGCAATCATCATGGCCAGCATTATCATCAGCAGAATCAGAATCATCATCATCATCAGAATCACCAGCATCAGCATCATCATCGCCATCAGCATCGTCATCATCAGCATCAACATTATGTTCTTTATGGGCGTACGGGTTTTGCACATTCGCTCCTCCCGTTCGTCTCGTGTGGTTGGAGGCACGGCGCATCTCTTTGCTCGCGGTCGCCGGCGAATTCAGGGATGCGACAATTGATATGACATTGGCACTGTTCCATTCAATGCCATTGCATCCCCCCTCGCTGGCTAATGCCGGGACGCCACACTCCCGAATTTCATACATGCACAGACTCCTGCCCGCTGAATTGCGAGTCAGCCTTCGTGCCTGTTCCGATCCCGCTTTGAGCGCAACTTGGCAAGAACAGTGACGGGAAGGCGTCGCTGGAATCAGAAACCGTCCATGGAGGCGTTGCTGCATGGATGCTCCGTCGCACTACAAACTGCAAGCTGCAAGCATCGCAAATGAGACTCGGGCACGCACTGCACTGTTCAACGCAGCAGCGAAGAATGTAGCCGGGATGCTGATGCCTTTTGAAAGTCATACCAGTTGACACAGATATATATATATATATATATATATATATAGATATATATAGATATATATATATATATGCATATAACTAG